AATCGACGCCATATTGTGCTGGTGTGCCACCATATAGTACTGGTGTGACAAATGTGACGTAGTGGTATATCAAACGGGCGTGTGTGCATCAAACTTTGAGGATTTTTTTATTGTAAGAAACTTTTTGAGCAAAATTGTTGTAAACGAGCACAAACGCTATTCTCAATATGACGTCAACGCACTGGCCAGTACATTTCGGAACGAATCAACAGTATGGCGTCGATTTATGACGTCATCAGCACTGGCCAGTATGCTGGGTTATATATTGGAACGCACCCAGTGTAAATTAATTTTTTGGTTGGTATTGTTATAGACAACTTCGTTCGAATATGATTAATAATTCTTAAGAATACTTACTGTGGAAATCGTATATCTCATCCTTAACCCCCCCCCCCTTCGGATACACTAGAGGAAATGAATATCAGATGATACACATATTCATTATAGTTATTATAAAATTTTTATTAAATAAATAATGGCATCATTCTTTCCGTTTAAACCCGGTTTTGGTACATTATGTAACAATGGTTTGTTTATTTTATAGAATCAAGTACATCGTCGAGACCACCTGCTCGTTCGAGGGATGATAAGAAGGTCATTGACTCCAGCAAACAACAACAAAAGAACCCAATGCCATCATCCGAAGAAACCATGGACACATCATCGACGTCCAACAAAGGCACCAGCGGTACGACCTCGTCCGCATCAAGCGGCGTCGCAGCCGCCCCCGCCTCTTCATCCGAGGACGTTTACGAGTTTAAATCGGTGAAGGAGTCGTCCGACTCGGCGTCGTCACCAGACGTGAAAAATTCCGAAGCAGCGTCGTCGCCGAACGACGTTAACGACGCCGTTGATCCTCTTGGTGGCCTGGCGCCACCTGCAACCGGTGCGACGGCTTCAGATGAAAGCTCGAAACGTAATTATTCCGAAGTATCAGACACTGGTGAAGATGGAAGTTGCAACGACGAAGAATCCCGTAGGAAGAAACGTAAAGAAGAAGGAGGCGCTAAAGAGTCCAAGTCGGGGCCGGCTATCCAAAGAAATGTGGGACAAGGTAAAGGGGGTGTAGCGTCGACCAAACAAGGAACTGGGGGTGGCACTGGAAATACACCCAGCAGCAAGGCGTCGGGGACGGCAAGCGCATCAAAAACCGCTGTCGCTGCAAATTCCGATCGGAAAACTCCGCCATGCACCAGTCCTAAACCTGCCAGTGCTAGTGACGCGGAAACTGATGACGGAAAAACAGACCTTAAGGTGGGTACTTCTTATTTTCAGTTTATTTCTTGTTCATTAAATAATAAAAACTTATCTTTAAT